TTAGTGTACAGTTATAAAAACTGGCCCAGCCATGGTGGCTCATACTACTAAGATGCTGTGGTTTGCAGACTGGGACCAAATCTGAGGCCTGGGTTTGAGTCCTAGTCCAGCCTAAAGGCCAGTTATGGTAGCATACACCAGTACTTTCCACAGCTCAGGAGGTCGAGGCAGAGGATCATGAGTTTAAAGTTGGCCTGGGAAACACAACGACATCCTGTCTAGAAAAGGCTGAGTCTGATGGTGCATGCCTGTAGTTCGAACTGGGAGGCTGAGGTGGTATTGCAACCATAAGACCCTGTCGTAATACAACCCCCCTCCAAATTAGTGTTGTTACAATACTATTATCTAACTCACAGAACTTTCTTTACCATGTGTGCCTCTAGTGTCTTTTCTTAAAAAAAAAAAAAAGAATTACTTATTTAACTTTATTTGTAATTTTTTAATTTGACCAGAGAGAGAGAAAGGGAAAGTGAGAAAGCAAGCTGCCAGGTCCGGGACTTGAACCATGGTTGGCCATGTGGGAGCCCAGCGTATTAATCACCACATCACCTGCTGGCTCCTTTCTTGTGTCTTTTTATCTGGTTCAGTGTCCAATCCAGGGTTACCTAATGTGTTTAGTTATTATGCCTCTTTAATATTCTCCAATCTAGAATAATTTTTCAGATTATCCTTCATGGCCTTCACACTTTGGAAAAATACTGGCTAGATACTTTGTAAAATGTTCCTCAGTTTAGATTCGTCTACTGTTTCCTGTGATTTAATTCAAGTTATCTATATCGACAAGAATACTGTGGAAGTGATATGCTCTTCTTGGACCATCATATCAGGAAGATGATGCTGACATATCTTAGTTGGTGATGTTAACTTTGATCACTTTATTAAAGTGATGCTTGCTAGGTTTCTTCCCTCTAAAATTACTGTTTTTCTCATTGTACTTACTAAATGCCTTTCAGAGAGAAACTTTGAGACTCTGCATGTCCTTTTTCTCATACTGTCAATCTCCCATTGATGATTCTTGGTGGCAATAGTATTGTGATATTTTCAAGTAATGATTTTTTATTTTAATCATTCCTTTTACATTGATCAATTACAATTCACAGACAGGAAGAACTCTTTCCTTTTTACTTTCCCTTTCTTGCTTCTTCCTGGAAGGATTAGTTTTTTTATTTTTTAATATAAAATTGTTTTAAAGAATTATTCTTTATTTATCATTATTATAATTTGCTGCAGGGTACATGTGCTCACCAGAAAAAGAGAGAGTAAGCAAGCCATTAGATCCAGAACTTGAACCACAGTTGATCCTGTGGGAATCCAGTGCCTTAACCTGCTGGCACAGGGCTTAGATAATTTTATTTCTGAATTATATCCATTATTATCATCATTCACTTTATTGTTCAAATTGTCCCAGTTTTGGCCATTGGGAACTCTTAAAATTGGTTTCTGAGGGACTAGCAGTTAGTGTAATGACTATGTCGCTGGACTCCCACGTAGTCAACTGTGGTTCAAGTCCTGGACCCGGTGGCTTAAACTCACGCCGAGCGCGTGGGTGTGCGTGTCCAAGAGCCCGAGAGGAGAATGGAGGAGAAGGGATTGTAGCATGGCCATCCCCCCTGGGGGGTGATTTCTCGCTTTCTGTCTCTCTGTCTCTATCTGTCTGGCGAGCGCATGCTCCCTATAGCAAAAACCTCTCCCCCCGCAAAAAAAAAATTGATTTCTGTATCCTTTTGACATGGGAAAGTAGTTTTTATTTATTTATTTTTTTGGTATTGTTTTAATTGTTATTATTTTTCTGCAGGCATGTGTGCTTACTGGAGACAGAGAGAATGTGAGAAAACTGCCCTCATCCTCCCCCAGGTGATGGCCACGCCACAGTCCCTTCTCCTCTATTTTCCTTCTGGGATTTTGGGCACACATGCACATGTGCCTGGCATGATTTTCAAGTTGCTGGATCTGCGACTCAACCTGTCATCTGCTATGTGGGAGTCCAGCATCTTAACCACCATGCTATCTACTGGCCCTGGGAATGTAGTTTTTAAAGACGAAGAAGAGTGCTTGCTCAGTCTTGGGAAATACTAATACGAGTCTAGGATGAGTGGCATATGAGAAGATGAAGAGGACTAGGGAGAGAGAGAAGCAAATCTGTGTGTCACTCAGGGCCCGTGTGCCATAGCTGGAGCACGCAGGGATCGTCTCCACATCTGTCACAGCAGTTGCCATTGCTCCTGTGGTCTTGCTTTCTTCCTCAGCTTCTTTGGTTTTTGTTATTCCTAATGTCAATTTCATGATTATTTTCAGTTCATCCTTTACTACACTTTTCTCAGTCTCCGTACCCAGCTGCTTCCACCACTCTTGGATGTCTAGCTTTTTTACTTTCCTTTGTTATTTCCCCGTCGATTTATCCTGCACTTTGCTAATATGGCATTTTTCTTCCCCAGAGCAGTATCTTACACTTCATGTCGGTCTCCATACCTTTTCTAGGATACCTTTTCCATTCTGACCTGCCCACATTTTCTTACTCTTTGTATATAATCACCCATTGTGACTTGGTGCCCTTAGCATTTTCCATGTTTATGGACTATGGTCTACACTGATTTTTAGGCTGCATGAGTTATTTATGTCTATTTTTATGTTCTTTCTTCCAAGGTTTCTGGTAGTGCATCATTAGGAGAACTACTGGCTATAAAGTGAAGCCAGAATTATCAGTGTTCTTCAGTCCTGTTTGTCATCTTATATCCTGAGACCATATCACATTTTTACTCTAGAGAGCTTAGACGAGTTTCTTTTTCTGCATTTAAACTATCTGTGTAGGAAAAAAAAATGTTAATGGTATTTTTTAATTGTTACTTATCTTTTAAGTTATAGCCAACACTGAAAAATGTCTTCCTTTTGGCCTCAACTCCAGTGCTTTACTTTTTCTACATAGACCTTAAGTCTTTTGAGCTATAAGAATCCAAATAAATGTAGTATTATTATCAGAGCATTTAATGTACTATGAAGAGATTGTAACTTGCTCATATTTTATCAGTATAGATTAAAAAATTTTTTTTTCCCTTCACAAGATAAGCACCCTGGACAAGGCCTGTCCCATTGTGATCTTCTTTCCCCAGCCTTCCAGCTAGTCAGGGGTCTTGGCTGTGCCTGTCCAGCAAGTGTCAGATCGACTGGGGATCTGAACCTGCAGCCAGCCATGTGGCTTCCATCACAGCAGAACAGCATGCCACCATCTATGCCACTGTGGCTGGGCCAATATAGATTATTTTTTAAGTAATGAAAATTTATTTTAGTTTGCATATCCATATGTATTCATGCATTTTATATTGCTGTTCTCAGCATTGAGAGGGCCAATAAATGGAACCAAGTTGCTTATTTTTAGTCTAATACTACCTTTCCCAAGGGGCAGGCATTTTATGTCATGTCTGTTTACTGTGGCTGTACAGAACATCATCAGTATCTACACATCTGGACCTCATTGTGTGGTCTTTTGGCAGGAGAATATGTTTTTGAAAAATAATGGAGCAGTATTGTTTATAATGTGGATATATCTCAAGTGCTGTCTTATACCAGCCATGTAGACATAATTATGTGTAAAACTGTTCATAATTGAACAAAGAAAAGAAAAAGTTGGTGTTACTTTTACTGTTAAGATATGTATACTTTTAAGTGTCATGTTTTTGTTATTTTGATTATGTGATTTTCGGAAAATTTTGGCCGGAGGGGAAGGGCACTTGCCAGAGAGAGAGGGAGGGGAAGAAAGTCCTCCTCCCAATGGGTTATGGTCATGCTGCAATCCCTTCTCCTCCATTTTTTCCATCCTGTTTGGATTTGGAGCACACAAGCACGTCACCTATGTTGGAGTCGGGATGGGATTCAAGCCACATGGCCAGCTGTGTGGGATCTCCTTTAATCACTAAGCCACGGAGCTGACCCTGCTTATACACTTTAAAACAGTATTTATCAGGACCAGCTATGTTGCTGGACTCCCATGTAATTGACCGTGGTTCACATCCAGGACCCGGTGGCTTAAAACTCACACCAGGCGCATGTGCATGCGTGTCCAAGATCCCAAGAGGAGAATGGAGGAAGAGGGATTGGGGTGTGGCCATCCCCATCCTGGGGGGATGATTTCTCACTTTCTGTCTCTCTGTCTCTGTCTGATGAGCGCACACGCCCTATAACAAAAACCTCTTTAAAAAAAAAGTATCTGGCTGTGCATTAAATGTGGTTTTACACATACAGTTCTCATTACTTCTAGATAACAAAATAACTTCTGTAAGACCAGTGGAAATGATATGTCATCATAAAATGTTAGTGAAATGTACAAAAGTTTTCGTTTTATTTCCCAGTAGAAATCTTAGAAACATGGACCAGATGAGAGTAAGACTGAATGTAGGGCTAGCAGGTGCCATAGTGTTTAAGGCACTGGACTCCCATGTGGTTAAGCATGGTTCAAGTCTCAGAACTGGCGGCTTGAAATTCACATCAGGTCCATGCACGTACTTGCCCAAAATCCCAAGAGGAGGATGGAGGAGAAGGGATTGTGGAGTGGTCATACTCCCTGGGGAGGTGATTGCTCGCTTTCTGTCTCTCTATCTCTCTCTGGCAAGTGCATGTGTCCAATAACAGAAAATATATCTCTCAAAAAAGAAAAAAAGATTGAATGTATACCTATGATACACTAAACTGGCACTTAAATGAAAATTTTCCATTGTTTTCCTTTGCATTCTCATTTCACCTGTTTTAGCAACAACTAAAGACAGTGAGTCTACTGAGTTGTCAGAAAAATGATGAAATTTTGCATAGAAAAGCATAAAAATAGGTCCTGACTTTCCTAACAACCCAGTACATTCCTTCCATGGAGTGGGAGCCTGTCTGATTAGAGAAGGAGATTATATGATAGCTTAGCTAGTCATTGAGGTGATCCTGCCTTTGAGTTGTGGAGATGTTAAATCTGATTTTATTTCATTTAAATCCTTGTGGGATTTTGTCTGTTTATTTTTTAGGGTGACTCAGACTTATGATGCAGGTGCATGTATCTACTTCTATTTTGCCTTTAACTACAGGGGAATTAGTGACCCACTGACCGTGTTCGAACAAACTGAGGTAAGTTTGCATACATACATAAAGCTCTTAACTTTCTTTTATTAATTTAAATAAATGTTATCTCTATTTATGATTGTAGTTTAATTCTTTTCCAATGCACATGGTTTGCCTAATGCTAGCCCATAGAATAAGCACACTTGGTGCACTGGCTTATGTACTGAATTGTACGTTTAAAATTAAGACTCTGTTTACCCGTAGTCTATAATTCATTGTTACTTAAAGTACTTAACAGCTGACTAAGTTAAACAACAGTAAAAATTCCTATGCTGTAGGAATCCTTGCTCTCACTTTGGCAGCTCACCATCTGCAGGTGGTGACTGCTGTTGCGGTCAGCAGCCTTAATGCTCTTGATTTTTGTTGTAATACGATCATTCTAGGTTTATGATTTCTTTGTATGCTAAAGCTGTATTTTGGCCATTGGAGTTATTTGCTAACAGCTTCATTTGTATTTCTTAAATGGCCTTAGCTGCTAGTTTTTATAAAGCCATCTGTTCATGGCCAGTATTTCTCATTACAAGTATGTTTATAGCTGGGGAAACAGACTAGACCATAGAAGAACTTACAGGAAATGGAGGTTTCTAACTTAGGTTTCCTAGTCATTTAACTCTGTTTTGTGCCTTCCAAAGATAGAACTATAAGGTAATTTCAATGGAATACTTTTAGACCCAAACTGTAGACAACGTTTGGTTGTCTCTCCCCATCCCTCTTCTTTTTAAATAGAATTGTTGAATTAAAATTGAAATGCAGTGAACTATATGTATGTAAAGTACACAGTTTCATGAATTCTGACATGTGTATCTCCCTGTGAAACCATTACCCCAATCAAAATAATAAATATATCTAGCAGTCCCCAAAATTTGAGTACTTTTTTTTTTTTAAATCACCTTAGCCTTTCAGTGCCTCAGTGTCATTTTCTCACTATCCAGAGAGCCCTTTCTAGTAGCACCACAAGCGGTATTGTTCCTTCTTTCCCAGTCCAGACTGCCATTTTCTAATTGCTTCCGACCTCAGGTACTAGGTGTTGCTCTATTTGAAGTAATTGTTAGAACGTGTGATTTCTTAGAGCAAGGGCTAACATGTTTATGATTCATTGGGAAAAAACCAGAAGTCCTAAGTCATGAGGGTCCTTATAGCTTACTTTGGATGAAGTGTGGTTCATCTCTCCCACCCGGGCTGTCTTTTGCCTTGATTTATACACACCTGAGTAATTCTGAGGGGTCAAGACATTGTAGCGATTGTATACTCATGAATCACTAGGAATTAAAGGTGATTGCAGTTCCTATGATCTTTTTTTTTAAGAATTATTTTACTTAACTTTATTTGTTTATTTATTTTAATTTAACCAGAGAGGAACAGAGTAAGAGAGAGAGAGAGAGAGAGGAAGGAAGTGAGAAAGCAAGCCACCATGTCCAGGACTCAAACCACGGTCAGCCATATGGGAGTCCAGTGCCCTTAACCACCACACGACCTGCGACCCCTCTATGACCTTTTTTAATTCTGCACTTCAGTCACTCTATATTTTAAATGTTTCTTTCTAAATTGAGCATTATGTAAGTTTAGTCAGGGCCTAAATGTTAGTAAGGTAAAACAAGGATTTTTTTTTTTCTTTTTCACACTTAGATATCTGCAAGACTGATAAATAATGTGTCTCAAGTCATTTACCTGAGAAATGTTTGCCATATGGGCTTTTATGGTTGATCCCTGATAGCTTGGTAAATAATACTGACTCTGAAGTCTATGTGATACTAGGCAAGTAATTTAACTTACCTAAGCCTCATTTTCTGTATCAGTGAAATGGGAATCATTATAATTATTCCATAAGGGTATAGTAAGAATACATGAGATGCTGCAGGCAAACGGCTTGGTACTATTTTAGATATACAGGAGGCTGTCAGTAAGCTTTAGTCACTAATGAGATGGTAACTGCAAAGTAGAACTTGAATCTGTCTTCACAAACTTTATTTATTATTGTTATTAAACAACTTAGTGCTGTTGGATTGGTTGTTTTGCTTTTACCCCCCCCCTACCCCCAGAGCTTTAAAGTGGTTTTATAGACATTATGACTATTAACTAGAAAAACATCTTATAAAATTTGTCTGCATAGTATAGTTGCTTTTTAAACATAGTTAGCCTGAGAGGAAAATTAGCTTCTAGATTATTTAACCCAGGAAATGTGTACCTCCTTTGGGAGTTAGGTCTTACTCCTGTACTCTGACATGAAATCTAAGTAACAATGATTTGTTCTGTAATTTCCAAATACAGGCAGCTGCTAGGGAAGAAATTCTCGCCAATGGAGGGAGCCTGTCGCATCACCATGGAGGTATTCTTTTGGTGGGTGGGGAGAGTATTTCTACTTTTAAAAATGCTTGGTTTAATAAAATACTGAGAAGAGTCATTCTAGGAGTAAGTAATTTAAGAGCACTTGAGGTTTCTTAAAAGTCTTTATGCCTTGGAATAGCTGACACTGGTAGTTAGGTTCTGATAGTCACCAAGAGAAGCTCGGTTTGATAAGCCTGCCTAGATATGGAGCCTTGCCAGCCCTTTTGAGTTCTCAGGGACCTCATGTTACTAGAGTATTGTCCAGCTTGCCTGGGAGGTATTTCACCATCACAGCAAAAAGTTTTAAGGTGGGGGACCCTACATAAATGTTTTTCAGCCATGATTGGAATATAGCTGGACATCACTTATACCATAAATCAAAAGGCTATTTATTCTGCCCACTCAAAACTCAGAAAATTAATCAAGACAGGATATGAAAAACTTTTTCAAGATTTTTATTCTGTTTTGTTTTTACTTGGTGGTCATTTGGTAAGTATCAAGTTTTATCAGAGAATTTATCAATCACCAATGAAGAATATGATATGTCTATTGCATTTTTGCATAGAAAATATGTCATGACTTTTCTGACAACCCAATACCTTTGTTATTAACTGTCTTAGTAAAGTAGTATGAGACAGTCCTTTAGAAAGTTAAACAGTAGCCATTCTGTCATATTATTTTTGAAGGTATTTGCCCATCATTTGGAACAGAAATTAATTCTTAACATAAGAAAACTTTGAAAAGTTCGTGGAAAATCCATCTTATGAAAATATATTTATGGATTTCAGAAATTTTGTACCAAAATACATTTATACTTTTTAATTCTATTTTCTGTGAAGTTTTAGAAGTTCCCTTTGTATCTCAATTTAATTTGATGCTTAGGAAAATAGAAACATGTAGATTTTTAAATTTTTAAATATTTTTGAGGGAAGAGCATGATGATAAATGGCCAATTTAAAAATTCAGTTTCCAATTCTGTCCTGGATTCTTTATATCTTTCATTCATTCCTATTTTATTTCCTTCATAGCCTTTATCATTATCTAATATGTTGTGTAATTGTACTTTTTAAGATTATCTTTCTCTTCCTACTGTATAGTGAAGATCGTGAGTATAGGGGGTTTTGTTCTGTCTCCTGCTGTAAACTAGTATGTAGAACAGTGTTGTTTCCTGTCAGCTCTCCATACACTTGTGTAGAATGAATGAAAAAATTTTGGTGGAAATTTCTGGTGAGCTACAGAGGTTCTATATTCATATAACATTCTTACGGCCAGGTCTGGAATAATTGCTAAAGTGGCTGAATTAAATAAAAAGACAATTCCCAACATCATCGTATTAATTTAATTTTTTGCTCTCACTTTACTTTTATCATAACACCCATAAATACATTTTTAGCATAGTTGGTTGATAAACTTTTGAATTTGCTCTTTTCCTCCTTTTCTTATTTCTTATCCCTTCCTTTGATGGAAGTGCTAATGAATGTTAGAATGACAGAAATGAAGGGAGGAAAATGAATATAACAAACCTCTAAAGTAGAATGAAAATCTTCTGATTACTCTAAATGTCTAAACCTACTTTTGGAATTTTATTTTTGTTTTTATGATAAGAACATATGTGTACATATACACACAGGAAGGAGAGAAGGAGAGAAAGCACCCTTGACAGGGTCTTGTCATATTCCATTTCTCTTTCTCCAGTTCTCCAGTCCCTCAAGCTCTTGGCCAACCATACACTCACCTGCCTGGCGTGTTTTTAGCCTGTCCCAGGGATCCGAACCCGTGGTTGGCCATGTAACTTCTAATATTGGAGTCTAGTACACTGTGGACATTACCACCTGAGCTAGGCTTAGTTTTAGATTTTTTTTTTTTTTTGACTCCCAAATGAAGTCTTTTTTTTTTCTTTTTGAGAGGTTTTTGCTATACGTGCGCTTGCTAGAAAGACAGAGACAGAGAGACAGAAAGCAAGAAATCATGCCCCAGGGTGGATGGCCATGCTACAATCCCTTCTCCTCCTTTCTCCTCTTGGGATCTTAGGCACACACGCACGTGTACCTGACATGAGTTTAAGCCACTGGGTCTGGGGCTCGAACTGCGGTCAACTACTTGGGAGTCCAGCAACATAGCTATTACGCTAACTGCTGGTCTCGCAGAATTTTTTTTTAAGAGAGACGTTTGCTATAGGTTGCATGCACTCACTAGAGAGACAGAGAGAGATAGAGACAGAAAGCAAGTAATCACTCCCCAAGAGTATGTCCATTCTGTAATCCCTTCTCCTTCATTCTTCTCTTGAGATTTTGGGCATGCATTTACACATGCCTGCTGTATTTTAAGCCGCTGGGTCCAGGACTCAAACTGCACTTGATTACATTGGAATCCAGCAACATAACCACTACGCCATCTGCTGGTCCCTAGTTTTGGAAGTTTAAACAAGAGTGATATTATACAGATACTTAGATTTTTAGCACTTATTTAAAAATGTTCAGAAAATCATACATATTATTTTAAATGTCTTACTCTGTTTCAGAATGGCATTATATTAATACATTAAAAACTTTAAAAATAGATATTATGAAGTATTTATGTGTTCTTGGTTCTAAAATGATAACATTGCTGTTGGAAACAATATAGCCATAATTACTTGATCTAAGAGAAATTAAGGTTTTCTTTCCATAGCCAACAATGTTGCTTTTTGGTATGTGCCAGCAGCCCAAAATGCACCTTCTTGAAACATGGTAATTCTTTTTTATTTTTGGAGAGGGTTTTGCTATAGGGCATGTGCACTAGCCAGAAGGACAGAGAGAGACAGAGAGACAGAAAGCGAGAAATCACCCTCCAGGGGGAATGGCTATGCTACAATCCCTTCTCCTTCATTCTCTTCTTGGTATCTTGGGCACACATGGACATGCTCTCGGCGCGACTTTAAGCCACTGAATTTGGGACTCGAACCGTGGTCGACTGCATGGGAGTCCAGCAACATAGCCATTACGCCAACTGCTGGTCCCGAAACATGGAAATTTAAGTTCTGTTTTTATAATCATAAATGTGAGAGAGATTATTCTGTGAGGGAATCTCATATATAAGAAATAGACACATAATTGTCAGTCAGGTAATTGATTATTAGACGAGCTGTTTCCATAATTGTGGAATGAAGTTCTCAGTTTACTCAAGTTATACAAAGTGTCAGAAATTCTGTGGAAATTAGGAATGACTAAATGACCTGCAACTTTGTGGACAAAAATCAAAACCAGTGGTTTTTTTTTCCCTTGGTCTATGATTCTACTTCTTAAGGATCTATGAGGATATTCAAGTCCTCTAGTAGTGACTTGTGGCTTCATGTCAGTGCTCAAAAGGTTTCGGATTTTTGGAGCATTTTGGATTTTTAAAATAGGGATGCTCAACCTGTATTATTTCTGTTTTTCAAATGAAAACACTAGGCTCTGAATAGATAGTAACTGGCTCCAAAATAAGCAGTAATTATTAGTGCCAGAATCTGAATTTGAACTTATGTCCACCTACCTCAGTATTCCTGTTCTTTTACTTAAAAGCCTAAAATATCTGAAATGAGTAAAATCTAAAAAGATTAAATGCAATAGCATTTGAAAAAGGATACAATTTTTAAAAAATGTATATATATGAAAAGAAGTTACACAGTACTCTTTTCCTCTTAAAATATAAAATCTTTGTGTCTTCAGTTTTGACATTTTCTAAGTTAATTATTTGCCCTATTTTCGATGAAACAGATAAAAATGAATCAAAATTTTAATTTCCTCATTACAGACAGACATCTTTGTTATTTTCTCAGTCCTATCAGTTCTTGCCTCAACTCAGTTTTTCTGGTTGTTTTTATAATTCTTCATTGCTGGTTCTCAACATGGCAGCAGTATTAGGTAATAAAACAAATGTAGGTCAGATCATGTTAGTAACCCTACTTACATAATTTCTGTGCATTTCAAACTCTAGGCTTCTGGATCTTTATCTAGTGAAGACTCCAAGTTTGATGAAATAATTTATTTTTAGAAAGTAATGTCTTGGGGGCAGCAGACAGTGTAGCGATTACATTGCAGGACTGCCACAAGGCCAGCCGTGGTTTGAGTTCTGGATCTAATGGCTTGAAACTCACACTGGGCACATGTATGTGTATGACCAAGATTCCATGAGGAGAATGAAAGAGAAGGGATTGTGGTGTGACCATCCCCTCTGGGGGACTGATTTCTCAGTTTCCCTCTCATTGTGTCTGTCTGTCTGTCAGTCTGTCTCTCTCTCTCCCTCTCTCTCTGGTGAGCAGCCCTGAGGCCAAAACCTCTACCAAAAAAAAAGAAAAGAAAAGAAAAGGGAAGGGAAGGGAAGGGAAGGGAAGGGAAGGGAGAAGGGAAGGGAGAAGGGAAGGGAGAAGGGAAGGGAGAAGGGAAGGGAGAAGGGAAGAGAGAAAGGAAGAGAGAAAGAAAGAGAGAGAAAGAAAGAAAGAGAGAGAGAAAGAAAGAAAGAAAGAGAGAAAGAGAGAAAGAGAGAAAGAAATTATTGTCTTGATGTTGAATGTAGCAAGGTATGGTTGCATATTAGCTTATTAAAGAGGATCTATGTTACTTAATAGCAATTTTTTATTCTATTCTATTTCTGGTATTGTTATTTTCTTTGTGATTAAAAATATGCCTGCATGGAAACAAATTCTAAACTACCTGGTATCCTGGAATGCTCAGAAAAGAACGTCAAAATACAAAATATACTGCAGATGTGCTGATACAGTGAAGATGCTTTCTTTTTTCTTTTCTGTTTCTTTTTTTATTTTTTTTACTACTTTTCTTCTTCTAAATTGGTAAATAGAGTGTTCCAGGCCTCAGCCCTTGGCCCTTCGTTTCTCTGTGTTCACTCACTCACTCAGTATTTTTCCAAGTCCACCCATTTCAAAGACCGTCTATATGCCGATGACTCCCAGATACCAAAGCACATCCCCTCCACCACCACCCTAGTTTCCATCACTGTCTTCTGCTGGGAGTCTGCAGTGGTAGCCTTCTAAC